TGTTGTGGTTCTTCGGTGCATTGGTAGGTTTTTGGTGGCTAAGTGACGTGGCGGGGTGAGAATTTCACCGCCTTTCTAAAATAGAATGGGTAGTCAAAATAGGCGGTTGGCTTAGTCAAATTAGGGGGACTCTTGTGGAATTGACCCTAACGGTCCAAGTCACCCGTTTTCTCGATGCAAGTCGTTTCTGGAAAGAAACTTGCCAGACTTGAAACTTTTCTCTGCATATTTAAATAACTGCTTTCCGGGCGTATTGAGATTGCGCAGTTCTTCCTCACTCGCCGGCAGGCCGTAACTCAGTGGAGACTCCGGTGCAACACACCTTGCTGCGCTGCGCTGGCCATTCATCGGTCTACGTACATACATCACACCACACCACACTCTCAACACCCACCACAACCATGGGCCGCTGGTCGCATCTCGACACTGACGAGGAGCGCCTGCCCGAGGGCATGACCCGGGTAGGCTACGACGCCGACACACAAATTTACACCTACCGCGACAGCGATGGCAGCTACTGGGAGGGCGCGCCAGGCGTCCGCTACGGCAAGCTGCACCGCGTGCAGTCAGAAGCCCCGCCTCTGCCAAGCGTCACCACCCAGACCGACAGCGAGGGAGACTACGACGACTACTACCACGATTCCGACTCCGATGGCCTTCCCCCGTACCCGGACGAGAAGACCAATAACTTCTCCGAAAAAGACAATGACCCGGGTTTGGCCCGTCCCAATAAAGCCAAGATCCGCCGCAACGCCCTCCCGGCGGGATCGCCAGTGGACAAAACCCTCCCCTCCCCGGATGACGACGCGGATATGCACAGCCTCAGCGGCACCACCGTCCGCGAGAGCATCTGCACCACTACCACCGCCACTTCCTCCTCCGATATCACCCGCCCCGAAAAATCCCAGAGCGGCACCGGCCTGAAACGCTCCGGCACGTTATCCCGTCTCACCCGCTTTTTATCCTCGTCGTCATCGCCCCGGCGGGACCCGGCCGGGCTTCGCCGCGCCGCAACCGTAGGCGGGCGATCATCGGCCTCGGGTGCGGCAGACCTTCACCGGCAAGGTAATCATGACCCTAACTCTAAACCAACCTAATAAACTCTGAGCTAACCCTAGAGCTAACTGAACCTAGGGAGGCTGTCGAGGGCGGCGTCGACCGTTAGTGGCGAGACTGTGGTGACGGATCGGGATCGGGATCGGTGGCCCCGGCCGAGACCGGGGACTGATAACCTGCCGCGGAAGAGGGCGACGACGTTTGATGAGATTTTGGGGAGGATGTAGACTATGAGGAGTTCTGAGGAGCTTGTGGCCCGTGGGCGGTGAGGATATGAGTTCATGATCTTGCTTTTTGGGCTGGAAATTGAGTTGCATTTGGGGTTTTCAGTGTTTTGGGATTCGCGCATTTGGGGTCTTCTGCTTTTCCAGGTTATTTTTTCAAATGGTTGATTCACTGTCTCATAGCCACTAAATTGAGGAACGTACAGCCTGCCTTCAGGGGCAGAAAATAGGGAGGGAAATTCAAACATGGAATAGTTAAAGCATGATCGCCGTTTCCATCGACCATCATTAATCTTCCAGTGCAATCTGTGAAAATGATATCAGGGTAAGCTTCTGCCTTGTTCTGCACATGAGGATGCCAGTGAGTGATGAAATGACAAACTAAAAGGTGAGGTGCCAAAAAAAAAAAAAAATAAAATAAAAAGAGCAGCATGAAGTGCAGTGGTGAGGGGAAAAGAAAGGGAACCACTGGTTGTCACGCCCATTCCACTATTCGTCAAGCCCACTATTCCTGATCGGGAAGTAAATTCCCATCCGCCGCAACTACCTGCCAGCTGCCCGCCGGCGCCTGCCGCCATAACGCTGGGAGCGGCCACAACAGCATCAATCGAATCGACAGAATCAACCGAATGCATCGTAAACAGCTCAATTACACTGTAATCTCGATGTTTTAAAACTCTTCCGGCGGCCCGTCAGGGTAGTTGCTACAGCTGCCGCCGGCTGGTTATTACTCCAGAGCATCCTCGAGCTCATCCCGTGCCTCGGCCTCTGCTGCCGCCAGCGCTGCATCATGGGCATCCTCAACATCGGGATCCAGGGTGTCAAGCGCATCGATGAAGCGCTCGCTCGCTCGCGGCGCGGCTGTGCCGGGCTCATACAAATTCCCAGCTTGCTTCAGCCGCTCAGACCAAGCCTCGTACTCGTGACCCTGGGATTGGTTGTGACGCCAGTGTTCCTTAAGGTCACCGCGACCACGATGCAGTCCCTTGTCTTGGTCTGGGTCTGGGGCTCCTTATCATCGTTGTGCCGATCCTGCTGCTGCCCTTGCTGCTGCATTTGCTGTTGCTGCTGCTGCTTCCCTTGAATAGCCCTCTTCCGCTTGCCTAGCGCCGCTGGTGCTGTTGACGGTGGTGGGGCTACCCAGGCCCAAATCGCTTTATTGATGTTGTGCCGGCCTGTTGCTGCTGCTTCGTTGATGCTGCTGGCGCTGCTGTAGCTAGCTCATCTTCAAGGGCGTATTCGAATTCTGACGGTAGGCGCCTAGTGCCCGTGATGCTCGCGCCCGGCTTCTTGCTAGCGGCGATGGCTCCCTTTGGACGGCCCTTGCTCTTGATGGGTGCTGGCTCTAACGGGATGTCTAGCGGCCCCGTCAGATCCATAACAGCACGGCCGCTAGTGGCTGTGACGCTGTCCGAACTACATTGGACACCGACGGCATCCGTAGTGCTACCGCCTTGCTTCTCCTCTGGCCGCCGGTTCCACCAATGCTTGTGGATCAGCAGGATCCCGGCCGTCAACGTAATTCCCCCCCTTGACACAGCGGAAGCGCCGTGTGGTGCCCTTGGAGCCATTCTTGACCACGTGATATCCGTTGGATCGGGCATGCGCTATAACGGCGGCCCAGAGGACGTCGAAGGTCGGGTATGCACCAAGCTGCGGCGGCGGGCCACAGTGGCGGCCGCTGGAATCGGGATCGCGATCGGGATCTTCGGCGGCCGTCATCTGCTCCAACGGTCAGTAACGAAGCAGCAGAAGCAGTAGAATCAACGTAGGATGTTTCAATCAGCCGGCACCGGCGGCAGTAATTGTGGCGGTTGTTGTTTTGAAGGGAACAATCGATTAATTCGGGCCCTTGAAAGGACTGGCGGCAGGCGCCGGCGGGCAGCTGGCAGGTAGTTGCGGCGGATGGGAATTTGGACAACTTCCCGATCGGGAATAGTGGGGTTGACGAATAGTGGAATATGGGTGACAACTAGTGGTTCCCAAAAGAAAACGCAAAAGTGAAGGGCTCAATCGGGGATCGAACCCGAGACCTCGCACAAGACTTATTTTTAAGTCTGGGTGGAACCCGAAGCGCGAATCATACCACTAGACCATTGAGCCAATTGTGATAGTCAACGTACCGAATTAAATTTTAAGTAATTAGCATCGTCTGGTGGGCCGTCCTTGTTCATATGCATCATTCTTCGCAATTCCATCCGTTTCCCGTTCCTCTTCATTCGATTCATTATTCCCGACGCTTGGGTTAGTATTCCATGGATACAGTATTCCATGCTGACAGAAGTCGGCCCAACTGCCTTTCTTACTGACGACTAACCCGGTCGTGGATCCTCCCCTTCGAGCTCCAAGACCCCTGTCATGCAATATTAAGGCGCCGCTAATAACCGACTGATTGTATCTACAGTATTTTATCACCTAGTTAACTAATGAAACATATCACCTTATGAAACACGACCCCGCCAAAATCTCGACCATGCT